GCGTCGTGGGGGCAGTAGCCTAAGGCGAGAGGCCCAGACTTCCCTCTCTCCAGCTACTTGGGCCAGCTCCGCCGGGGCAATCCCAAGGTGTTCCCTGGCCAGCTGAGAGACATAGTTCCTCCACCGTATCCTGGGTCTACCTTTAGGTCTCCTCCCGGTTGGACGTGTCCAGAAAACCTCACCATGGAGGCGTCCAGGAGGCATCCTGACCAGGTGCCCGAGCCATCTCAGCTGGTTCCTCTCGATGTGGAGGAGCAGCGGGTCTACTCCGAGCCCCTCCCGGATGACCGAGCTTCTCACCCTATCTCTAAATAACCAGACAGCAGGACGAAACTCTAAGATATGACAAATAAAGGAAACCAACACATACAGATCAATACCTACTATGGACATCAGAACATCCTACCGTCCAACACACCTCGTTCCTTCCAAAGATTGAACACAGTTGCATCAAGTCTTTGACTTTGAGAGTTGAAGGGTGATTAAACTGATAAGTCGAAATGTCATTGTATTAAATAAAGAATTTGTCATTTTCACCTTTTATTTTTATTCCATCATTCTCATTTTGCTATTAGAACGTTAGAAAACGCCTTCCTTTCTTGTTTTCTAACGGAAAACGTCAGTTACATCTCAAAAAGACCCAATATCAAATAATTCCAGGAGAAGACAACAGTATTAAGTGTGATGTTAGTCGTGTTCTGGTTGGTGACGGGCTGAGAGGATTGGACCACCTTTCATCCTGGGTGTGTAGTTCTGCTCTGATCCAGCAAGGGGCAGTGTCTCACACACACACACACACACACCAGCGGTTTACCGGATATCACGAGGGGCGTCAGTCGGGATTGTTCCACTTCCGCGCTGTAGAGAAACCGAGCTGATAATCGTTGGAAAATGGTGAGTTTATTGGTTTAAACGCGTGCAATGCGTGCGACCCGCGTTTCTAGGTCCATGTGTGGTGCGGGGGGAGGTGTAACCAGCGGTTTGTGGGGCCGATGGGGCTGGATGTTCACCGATGTGGTGTGGGTGGTGTTCTGGGAATTTCTCCTACCCGTACACCGTCCTAGCCGTTGTTACTGAGCATGTGCGCGCATGCGCACAACACAAAAGGGGAATGCTACCCCGATTCAATTAAAAAAAACTTTAATCATCATCCCCGAGGGGCAATTGTTCCGCTGTCATATTTGCAGGAAAATAGATAAGTAGTAAGTATTAGTACTTTTTATTGACGTTGATACTTGATTTTTTTGGTTAGGGTTAGAGTTATGGTTAGGGTTTGTGTCGTGTAAAACACCGTAAAATGATCCTACGAGTAGGACGTTTTCTCAACACCGGCAGGCTTTGCTCCGGCGTGGACTGTCATGGCTGCCTGGAGCTCAGCAGGTTCAGATCAGCTGAGGTGTTTTATTCTAACTCGCTGCTGCTACACTTGTTCCGCCGTGACGGAAGCAAATGCCGCACTTGCTAATCTAATTCATGTTTTGTCTCTTTTATTCAAAACAACTATCAGGTCCTCTCCACACGTCACCACTCCCTCTTCTGAACACTGGTCAGCAGCATACGTGACTTGCTCTAAACACTGTTTGTAATATTTCCCAATCTAACAAGTCATGAAATGTTATTTTATATTTACTGAATCAGGGCTGCCACATACAACTGTTTTATTAGTTGACTAGTCACCAGTTTTGTTGACTATTAGTGGGCTAATCGAGTCATTAATAAAGGTTGAGCTTGTTGCAGCAGGATGCTCTAATGTAGCGTCATTAGCTGTGATCAGCTGTGAGCCGTCCTGTAATAAAGACAAGATGGTCGCTTATCAACAACTTTGTAACTGTTAATAGAAACGCTGCAGTCAGATGGAGGTAGGCTCCTGAACCAAACATGACTTGTGTTCACCAGAGGCATGGTGGCCAGGTTGAAGAGCTTCATCTTCCAGTCTTCAGTCAGGAACAGGCAGAACACACCGAGGTCCGCCTCTGCAGCACGGCTGGTCCACACGTCAGCAGGCAGGGGCCATGGACAGCTCTGAGGGTCTGCTTTAGCGTAAAGATAAAAGTTATTAAAGTTAGTTTATTTACCAGATTCATTATTCTGTCATATCTAATAAAGCAACTTAAGATTTAACACAAAGAAAATGTTTTATGCTTTAAAAGTATTAGTTTCTTGTTGTTCAATCAGCAACATTTTGATTTTATCATAAAATATTTTAAATTCTAATGTTTATTTCATGTGTACACACACACACACACACACACACACACACACACACACACACACACACACACACACACACCTTAAAGGTTGTTTAATTCTTCTTCTCCATCATGGTGGTGAAATGGGACCAGCCTAGTAGGTTGTTGTCATGGTAACCTGCTTGATCATCTCTGAAACCTTGATAGCGACCATGGACAGGAGTCTGGTGACCTAGTCTGGCTCACAGCCGCCTCGGTCAGGACGTTAGCTTGCCGAGGTGTGCTCGTAAGCAGCTCATCCACTGAAGAGGAGCACTGTTATTACCGCGCTAACGCAGCGGGATGACATACATCATTAGTGTTTGTAATCCGAGCAAAAGTGTGTGACGTACAAACGCGTTCTAAAGGTAACAACATCAGCGTCTCTACTGGAGTTGCTGCAGCTATAAACACTCGGTTGGCGTTAGCAGCTAACAGGAAGTAAACTTACCGAGGCGACTCTTCGTTCTCCGCCATGACGTGCTTCCTCATAAGGTGCTCGTGCGTCGCCGACGTGCTCCTGTGAAACGAGACTTTCACTCTGCGAGGTCTACAGGTCTTTCTTTGTAATTTGTATAACACTCCCAAACTTTAGAGCTCCGCTGTCGATTCTCTCTGTCTTCTGTCTGCGGTGATGAAGGCTGATCTGGATGGCCACCACTGTGCATGCGCCGCGGCGGCTGACGCGGATGTTGACTTCTACATGTGCGTTGAGCAGAGAGGCAGGAAGCAAGGGCCAAACGTGCCGCAGCGGTCCAGATTAAATTAGGAGTCGGCTGTTTTGTTTGTCGCCGTGGTGACGAGTTGACTAATCAGGACAGCTCTGAACGAGTAACGGGTTAGTGGGACCTCTGTAGTGACTCAGTGCTCTGTTTTGTAGAACAAACAAAGGTTGTTTACAGGTTGTAATCTAATCTAATCCTGCTTGATTGATTTTCTCTTGTAGGGCTTCGTTAAGGTGGTGAAGAGCAAGGCCTACTTCAAGAGATATGAGGTCAAATTCAGGAGAAGAAGAGGTAAAGCCAGCTGGGTGAGGTGAGGTGAGTCCAGGATGCGGTACTGATGACTCTCATCGATGATGCTTTTCCTCAGAGGGGAAAACAGACTTCTTTGCCCGCAAACGGCTGGTTGTGCAGGACAAGAACAAGTACAACACACCCAAATACCGGATGATCGTCCGCTTCTCCAACCGGGACATCTGCTGCCAGGTCAGTGACTGAATGAATGAAGCCTACAGGATGTCTGATCCACCATCTCGTGTCTCTGCTGTCCAGATCGCGTATGCAAAGATCGAGGGAGACCACGTAGTGTGTGCCGCTTACTCTCATGAGCTACCCCAGTATGGAATCACTGTGGGCCTCACCAACTACGCTGCAGCCTATTGCACCGGCCTCCTCCTGGCCCGCAGGGTAAACGCAGGTCTTCCTGTTAGAGAGCAGAATAACCGGGCTCATCCGGTCCAAGGCGGTTACAACGGTGTCTGTCCTCTTTATGCAGCTGCTGCACAAGTTCGGCATGGATCAGGTGTATGAGGGTCAGGTGGAGGTGACGGGAGACGAGTTTAATGTAGAGAGTGTGGATGGGCAGCCTGGTGCCTTCACCTGTTACCTAGATGCAGGACTGGCCAGGACCACCACGGGGAACAAGGTGTTTGGAGCCCTGAAGGGGGCAGTCGATGGAGGACTGGCCATCCCTCACAGGTCAGTATGATGGGAGACAAGCAGGGGGTGTGTCTGAAATCATCCTGAAACTTTAGTCCTCTCTGATCCAATCCGGGTGTTTCGACCACGCCAGTCTCGTCCTTTGAGATTTATCAGCTTGTAAAAGTTCGTAATGAGCACGACTACAACTTAGACCTCGGCATGTCGCATATATGACGTCACCACATAAGCTCCTCCCCCTAGCGTAGCTGCTACTTACCACATGACCAGATTCATGGTGGTTCTTTCCTCCTGTGGGAAGTTTGCTGACCTTACAGCCCTTTTCCCTCCGTGTCTGGTTCCATGACGTCACTTTCGTGAGGCACATTTGTAGTCCTGGACTTATTTTCACACCAAACCTAAAATAGCGTTTCCCCCCGTTCGAAAAGAAGCGCATTCTTGGTATCAAAATGTGTCTTTAAAACTCACGGACATCATCTGTGAACTCTATGGCACAAAACAGGCAAATTTAGAAAATAGCGTTTTTAGCCCCACTGACGCATTCATTTTTTCATTCTTCCGGGGACCCGTGATACGGAAGTAGGTGGGCGTGACTTAGGCTCCCTACAGGAGAAACACTATTTTAGGTTTGGTGTGGAAATAAGTCCAGGACTACAAATGTGCATCACGAAAGTGACGTCATCAAACTAGACATGGAGAAAACTGAGGGAAAATGGCTGTAAGGTCAGCAAACTTCCCACAGGAGGAAAGAACCACCATAAATCTGGTCATGTGGTGAGTAGCAGCTACACTAGGGGAGAGGAGAGTATGTGGTGACGTGCAACGTGCCGATTTCTAGTTTGCAGTCGTGCTAATTACAAACTTTTACAAGCTGATACATCTCAAAGTTTGTGACTGGCGTGGTCAAAACACCATCATTACATTTCATTTAAATTGCAGTACAACATGTGTGGTCCAGGGCGTAAGGCTAAGCGGATTAGAAAACAGCTCTTTTAGTCCCGTTGACTTGCATTCCTTTTTTCGTTCTTCCGGGGACTCGTGGTCTGGAAGTGAATCAGGTTCCCTATTAGAGCTGCACGATATTAAGAAAACCTGCGATGTGCGGTAACAGTGATTAACAATGCAATGACGACATGACTTGCGATAAATCAGTATATACCTGACTCAAGAATAAATGAAATAAAAAATGATCAAAAAACATCATAAAAAATGGGAAAAGCAAAAGATGCGAGGAAAGGAAATAAACAAGGAGAACGAAGCTAACCCGGGTGTTTGCTAGCCATTAGTATTTAGTGCAGCTGGCCAAGGGGGCGGGCATCTGGCCTATAAGAACCTATGCGATTGGCTGAATGGGGGAAAAGCTCTAACTGATTGTAAAAAACGTCTTTCTCTTGTTTGATTGATAAAATGCGTTGTGTGTAGCAAACACCCGAGCTAGCCTTTCATTGCCTTTTTTTTTTTCTGTTCTTTGCGATTATGGTACATTTGTGATGTATTGTGCTGCCCTAGAAGCTCGGCTGTCGCGTGACTAACCGCGTGAACTACACCTTTAAGATGCCAACATGTTTCTGAATGTTAGTGCTAGAGGACAACTGGCCCTTCTCTCCACACAAACAGCAGAGACACGAAGCAGCTAGCTAGCAGGAGCAGAGACTCCTCATCAAAACACGCTAGCTAGCTGCGTCTGCATTAGCATTGCGGCGCCAGTTTCTATCGCTGCGTTAGATACACGACTTTGTTAAGTCGTCCGATTTGTTAGAACTTTATTGAACTCTGATCCTCCACACTCAGTCATGAATTGTGTTTTTTAATAAAACTCTGTGTTCTGCAGAACTCTGTTACTTTAGATTACCGCTAGCGATGGGTACCGAATTCGGTACTTTTTAAGGTACCGACCGAATTCCATAGTAGCGACTGAGCACCGATTCACGTCATTTGAAACGGTGCCTCGTTTCGGTACCCGTCCTTCATAACGAGAACTTGCCTAGACAGCTGCACATGCGCAAGAGCGTTATGTCGTCGGTCGCTGCGAGCGAGTTGTAAACAGAGCAGCATGGTAGAAAGAACGCACGCTAACGCTTGGGTCCACTTCACTAAATGTGATGAGTAACTGGGTGATGATGAAACCAGCGACAACGATCTAAGTGAGACATCCTCATCTTAATCTGCTCCGGTAGGTAAATAAAATGTTTAAGATAACGTTAGCTTGATATGTTAGCTTCCGTTCCGCTAATGGTGCGTTCACTTTCTCCTCGGAACTCCGAATTTCCGACTAGAAGAACATGAACGCGCTCTAAAGTTTAGCTTCACTTTACTAAATGCGACGGGTGATTGGGTGAAGATGAAACCAGCGACAACGATCTAAGTGTGAGGCATCATCGTTTTAATCTGCTCCAGCAGCTAAATAAACTGTTTAAGATAACGTTAGCTTGGTATGTTAGCTTCCATTGCCACCGTTGTTATCAGCTAATGGTGCGTTCGCTTTCTCCTCGGAAATTCTAACTTCCCAGTAGGAAAAATCAAATGAAAAAAGACGGCAAAAGGAATGAAGATACACAGTAAATTTAGTTCACAGTAAAGATGTTTGCTTAAGTTTAATTATCAGCTTATAAAACTACAAGGACGACGTTAAAATACAAACAGTTGTATGTTATTTATCGTGATATTTATCAAATATGGTTATATATTGAGAAAATATATATTTAATTATAAAAGAGAATTAAAATATTAAACACTCAAAAGTATCGAAAATCGGTACCGTTAAGTACCGGTATCGATTCTTAGGTACCGGGAGTTGGTACCGGATCGGTCCATAAAGTCTGTTCTACTCTACAGGTCTATGTGGAACGGTTCTGCCATGTTCTAACTGTCTGCTGTGGTTGTTTCCAGTCTGAAACGTTTCCCTGGTTACGACGCAGAGAGCAAAGAGTTCAACGCAGACGTGCACCGGAAGCACATCATGGGCATGAATGTGGCGGACTACATGTCCTACCTGATGGAGGAGGACGAGGAGGCCTATAAGAAACAGTTCTCTCGCTTCATCAAGAACGGAGTCACGCCAGAAACGGTGAGACTGCTTCTGCGTCCGCCCCTGAACACCTGCGCCCTCGTTCTGCAGGCGTTCCTAGAAACTCTCCTGCGCTCCTTCCTATGGATGAAACGTAGAATGTTCTTACGAACTAGGGCTGCACGATATTAGGAAAACCTGCCATATCCGATAACAATGATTAATAATGTGGTGACGATATTACTTGTGATAAATAAAATCTTAACTCAGGAACAAAAATACTCAAAAACACAGAAATAAAAATGAGAAAAGCAAAAGATGTGAGGAAAATGAGCAAGAAAAGGCGATCAGTGGATCCCGGGAAAAGCAGAATCAGCAGAACTAAGCTAACTCAGGTGTTTGCTAACCATCAAAAGTAAGTGCCGCCCGCCTTGGGGGCGGGCCTCTAACCTATGAGAACCTATGAGAACTGGGTGACCGAGGCGCTGGCTGAGGACCAAACACGTCACAGAGGTTTAACACGGTCGGACCCAGGAGAGGTCCTCGTCTGAGACGGACAAACAGATCAGTCGTAGAGGAGCGTTTAACGAGTCCTTCTGTTTCAAGTTAGTTTGATTTGTAAATGTTGTCTGTGAGTGCTGTCATTCACTCTGGTTACCGTGGCAACGGAGCAGAGGAGGTTCTGGGGGGTTGTAAAATAGAATCTGGACTGGTATCGGACTCGGCCGGTTCACCTGTTGCCCCGCTCAGCTCCAGAAGGATCTCCTTCAGGGATGAGTCCTCCCAATAACGCCAGACGAGTCATGCTGGAGGTTTCAGTGACATGAACAGCTGTTTTCCACTGACTAATTATGTAACGAGGAAGGTAAACATGGATGAGGAACATGTGGACAACTGAGACCTTCAGTGCTGCGGTTCCTCCGTTCTACCACCAGGTGCTGTTGGGGTTAGGGTTCCATTCTGGTTCTTTCAAGAGGCAGGACCCAAAAACATGGCGTGTTTTGAACGAGCCAGCTAACCACTGGCCTTCGATGAAATAATCTGAACTTCAACATGAATTTTAATCCCACGAACAAGAACCGTCAGTCAGACGGAAACCGTGTTTGTTTGTGACCACAACCGAAGTCTGGCAGGATCCTGTAGGATGAGAGGCTGAAAGTCTCCACCGTACCCAGAAACGTCCCGCTGCTGCAGCTAAAACCATCGATCACGTCCAGGACGGGCTGCAGAGTAGCGGCTGGTGTGGTCGGCGCTGAAGGGCGCTGGGTTCTGGGAAGAACTGACATTCCTGATGGTCGATGCCAATTCCCAACCCTAGGTTGTACACAAAGTCGGAGCTGTTCGTATATTTAGGAACGTTTCCGCGCACAAATGGGAGTAGTGTGTGTATTCGTTCCCACACACACATCTGCGTGAGTACGGGAGATAAACGCGGGCCCTGAACTGCTTCATCTGCTGCTCCGTGACGACGAGTCCTGAGCATCGTGTGGTTGGTCCTCCTCTTGCATCAGCTGATGTTTACTGAGGGAAGCAGGGTCAGCGCTCAGACCTGAGCTCTAATACCTGCTTCTTGTTTTCAGGTAGAAGACATGTACAACAAAGCACACGCCGCCATCAGAGCCAACCCCGTCCACCAGAGGAAACCTCAGAAAGATGTCAGAAAGAAGAGGTGAGTCCAGAACATCGTGTTAGCCAGCAAGCTGTGGGGGCACGCCGGGTTCCAACGGCACCGCGACCGGTGTCTGTACAGGATCTGCTCGGGTGCAAGATCGGCTCGGGGTCCGTCGACTGCCGATGACGTCAAAGTAGTTGATTGGCTGAACATGAACCTTACGGAATGACGTAATCACGTTACGTTGTTATCACGTTACGTTGGTCCAGGCAAATGTTTCTGTTGGAAAGATGGACAACTTTTACAAAGAAATCCATCATTACCTCTTTGAAAATACACTTTTAGCATAGAGCTGCATGTATATTAGGGCTGAACGATTAACTGCATGTGCAATTAAATTGCGATGTGACAAAAGGAGATTTTCTAATCGCAAAGGCTGCAATTTGGCAGCGAGTGGTTAGCGCAATGCTAATATACATGGAAAAACCCATAGGAATGCTAATGCTAATATCACCGATTACATTATTACAAATTATGAATTAGAAACGTGCCAAATGATTACATTTGGAGTCTAATAGAAAGTAAAACTACCATCAATCAAATAAGTACAGACAGGTATTTTAGTAAAGCCAGAAAACTTTTAACTCCGGAGTTTTGGCTAGCAGCTATGAGCGTACCTGAACTACGCATGGACAAGACGTCAAAAACTCTAAACAAAAAATACTTCAATAAACGGGACACACTTCTTTCCTGCAAATACAATTTCACAGGTGTTGCTAATACCTATGATCCTTCAAGGGATGTGCTCAAAGAGGAGTTCAACATTATGAATAATATAGTGTTTTATTTTACAAATACCATTATAAACACAAACTTACGTCTTAAGAAACATTTTAATAACGAAACTGCTAAATTCTTTCCAACAGTATAGATGTGTAGTGTATTTTGTCCGAGTGGGTTTGCCGTACTTTGACGTCATCGGCAGTCGAAGGACCCCGAGCCGATCCTGTACCGACACCGGCTCGTCCCTCAGCGTACGCACCCACCCCAACAGGATGTAGCTTCTACCTACATTACTAGTTATACGGACTCGGCGTACCGACGCAGAGCGCTCCAGGCAGCCACGTGCACACGGCCACGTGCACACGGCCACAGTAACGATCTCAGAGTGTCGCCATCAACAAGTACAATGAACACACCGTCGTTCATGTCCGCTCAGACTCTCTCTGGTACTTCCTGTTTCATTCGTGCCTGACGCGCTCCGCTGCAGCAGAACTCCTCCCCCGAGGTCCGGCGACTTCCCCTGATTGGCGCCGCCGTGCACGCGCTCTGCTGTTTGGCGGCGGGTGTGCTTAGTTCAAAAGTAACTCACGAGGGGCAAAAGGAGCTGATCACGAGGCAGAGGAAAAGGATGAAGGTAACGTCCCGTTAGGCATCACACACCGGTGCACACGACCCCTAACCCCTGGGGGAGCTGCGCTCGGGAACCATTTGGTGGTTTAACCCCTAATCTAGTTTAAGTCTGCAGAGATTTGTGTTTTGAATTTTATGAAAACATGAAACACAGTCATCTCTAGGAAGAGCAGGTGTGGGTCAGACGTGCACTCTGAGCTACTGGAGAGAGTTTCACACCAACTTCAATTATTTTATGGCTGTGGGACAAAATCTCAGCTGCCCCAGATTTAGTAAAACACCAGTCGTCAGACGGCTTCATGTTTACTTTATTATAAAACATCAGTGTTTATTATTGATGCTGCATCATTCTGTAGATCTCCACTAAACACTCGTGGGATGTCCTTTCCTTAACCCTTAAAGACGACGCTCCCACTGGACCTGTCTCACACACTGGACCTGTCTCACACACTGGCTCACACACTGGACCTGTCTCACACACTGGGCCTGTCTCACACACTGGCTCACACACTGGACCTGTCTCACACACTGGGCCTGTCTCACACACTGGGCCTGTCTCACACACTGGACCTGTCTCACACACTGGACATGTCCCAGAGCACTGGGCCTGTCTCACACACTGGGCCTGTCTCACACACTGGACCTGTCTCACACACTGGACATGTCCCAGAGCACTGGACCTGTCTCACACACTGGGCCTGTCTCACACACTGGGCCTGTCTCACACACTGGACCTGTCTCACACACTGGGCCTGTCTCACACACTGGACCTGTCTCACACACTGGACCTGTCTCACACACTGGACATGTCCCAGAGCACTGGACCTGTCTCACACACTGGACCTGTCCCAGAGCACTGGACCTGTCTCACACACTGGACCTGGCTCACACACTGGACCTGGCTCACACACTGGACCTGTCTCACACACTGGACCTGTCTCACACACTGGACCTGTCCCAGAGCACTGGACCTGTCTCACACACTAGACCTGTCTCACACACTAGACCTGTCTCACACACTGGACCTGGCTCACACACTGGACCTGGCTCACACACTGGACCTGTCTCACACACTGGACCTGTCTCACACACTGGACCTGTCCCAGAGCACTGGACCTGTCCCAGAGCACTGGACCTGTCCCAGAGCACTGGACCTGTCTCACACACTGGACCTGTCTCACACACTAGACCTGTCTCACACACTAGACCTGTCTGTCACACTGGACCTGTCTCACACACTGGACCTGTCTCACACACTGGACCTGTCTCACACACTAGACCTGTCCCACACACTGGGCCTGTCTCACACACTGGCTCTCACACTGGACCTGTCTCTCACACTGGACCTGTCTCACACACTGGGCCTGTCTCACACACTGGCTCACACACTGGACCTGTCTCTCACACTGGACATGTCTCACACACTGTCTCACACACTAGACCTGTCTCACACACTGGCTCACACACTGGACCTGTCTCTCACACTGGACCTGTCTCTCACACTGGACCTGTCTCTCACACTGGACCTGTCTCACACACCGGACCTGTCTCACACACTGGACCTGTCTCTCACACTGGGCCTGTCTCACACACTGGACCTGTCTCACACACTGGACCTGTCTCTCACACTGGACCTGTCTCTCACACTGGCTCACACACTGCACCTGTCTCTCACACTGGACCTGTCTCTCACACTGGACCTGTCCCACACACTGGACCTGTCTCACACACTGGACTTGTCTCACACACTGGCTCTCACACTGGACCTGTCTCACACACTGGCTCACACACTGGACCTGTCTCACACACTGGCTCACACACTGGACCTGTCTCACACACTGGCTCACACACTGGACCTGTCTCACACACTGGACCTGTCTCACACACTGGACCTGTCCCACACACTGGACCTGTCTCACACACTGGCTCACACACTGGACCTGTCTCACACACTGGACCTGTCTCAGAGCGCTGCGTTTCCGCTGAAAAACCACAATGCACAGATAAGCGTTTTCATTCATTCAGACGCTGTCGTTCTGATCTGCAGCTCACACGGCTTCACACGCTAGAATAAACGTCATCACGGCAACGGGAACTGTCACATGATTATCACTCACCCAATCACCTGCTTTGATGTCATTTTCCCGTGAATTGTAGGCCCAGTCTTTCAGCTTTTTCTTGTGCTTTTTTGTAATAATACGTTTAGACAAACACGTTCTACACACACCATTACAAACGCCACACACACACACACACCACTACGAACGTGTGGATGAATCACGGACCGGTCAAACGGTACACCCTCCCTCCTCGAAGCGGTTGACGCCAGCAGTGCCGGACCATGTTTCTGTTTCCTCGCGTATTCTGTTTTATTGTTATTATTATTAGCGAGCGAGAGGAAAAGAAAACGACATGCTACTGAAACATTAGCTACAAATATCCAACATTATTATCTGATTGTTATTGTTTATGTTTTTGTGTTGAGGGTTAGGGTGCTGCTTTTCTGTAGCATGAAAAATGTGTAAAAACAGAAAAAGCATTTCTTGGTTTGAACCTTTTACATCTACATGATTAACCTGAGAATGTGAGGCTTGTATTGATGCACAGCAGGTCCCAGAAATGGCTCCACAGCACGTGAATGAAGTCCTGGCTTAAAGGGTTAACCTTTAGAGTATTTACACAATATTCATACACAAATAAAGACGTCATTTATTAGAGTTATCAGACCTCCATCTTGAATGTACATTGTGGAAACGTCCACCTGCCAATGCAGTCGTGTTTCCACAGAATTATTATAAATGACCCGGTTCTGCTCCTAAACGCTTAGACGGGCTTAAACTGGGATGCTGTTGGGTTGAAAAGCAGGAATGTGAGCCGTTATTAGGAACCAGGGAGCAGAGACGATCATCCTGACTTTAAAACAAGAAACGTGTTCAGATCAAACCTGATCAACGTCATTTCTTTCATTAATCTGCCCAAAAGCGCACGGATAAGAAACGTTAGTAGTTTACAAGTAGCAACGCCGTCGCCCGTGGTAGCGTCTATGAGCGGCTGAGCGTTCCCGCGGCAGGGAAGCGGAGCCGAGCTGAGTGAAGTTGGCTTCCAACCCACATCAGAAATCCGCATAAGTAGAATGGTGTGTTCTGATGTGGATGGGAGCCAGCTTCACTCAGCAGCTGACTGGTCTGTGAGCAGGACGCCGACAGTAGCGCTGCTCCTGTGAACTTTAGTGACACAGGCAGAAATGAGCATTTAGAGCATAGTTTTCGTCCAGTCAGCTCGCTAACGAGAACTCCTGTTCGTCTCGTCGTGTTTTAGCTCCACAGAGCTAGTTTTAGCTGGTCAGCGTCTCGATTACGTTATCAACGTTATCCCAGGGGCGCCAACGACATCAGTTTGTCGTTTCGGTTAATGAAAACGCTGAATCCAACCCCAGGGAGGCATTGGGTCATTGGTATGGTACCCCGATGCCCCAGTGCCAGGGCGGACTGCCGCTAGGCCACCGAGAAGGTTCATGTTCAACCTCATTTTAATATCGTCAACAATAAAACACACCATCTGCAGTCATTCACTCGTTCAGCTGAACTTGTGGCCTTGGCCCTGGCCCAGAATGACGCGACCTGGCACCGACCTCACGGTTAACGGCGTTTAGAGGGTGCTGTCGACCACTGAGCTTTGTGAAAGGCTGAGCTGAATCTGAATGAAGCTGCTTTTTGTTTCCTGCTCTGCAGGTGGAATCGGGCCAAGTTGTCTCTGGCACAGAGGAAGGACCGCGTCGCTCAGAAAAAGGCCAGCTTCTTACGAGCACAGGCCCAGGAGGACGGGGACGGTTAGGGACGAAGCCCGCGAGACAAATAAACACGTTAACAAACTCCAGCTGGTGTCTGCTGCCTGGTTTTTCTCTGCTGTGTGAAGAAGACCGCACGGCTCCAGTGAGGTGGTCTGATGTTTATTGTGCAAAAATCATGCTGGTGTCTCGTTTCCACCCGGCAGGTTCCCTACAACGGGAGCCAACAATCACCATGGCAACGACAGAACACTACAGGTCACATTCATCAGTGCAGCAGCAGCATACAGAATAAAATAGTCGTTCACATCTCTAGCAGTCCACCTTAAACGGGCCACCACGAGGAGACTCCACCAGGAGTCTGGGTGGTGCGACGCCACATTTGTGGTGTTTCAGAGTAGAAGTACAGGTCTTAAACGACTCCGGTCTGCGTCTGAAACTCAGACATGAACGAACGCGCTTGACCTCCGCCAGGGTTTAAGGCCGTGGTCCTGACTAGTCCAGCAGGGATCCAGTAGACTCCAGACCTGGATCAGCTGACGTGGGACCTTCAGAAGGTGGTGTGGAGATGAATGTCTGCAAGTCAAAGACCTGAAATCAGAACCGTGGCTGGGAGAAGATCCAGGCTGACCACAGCATGCAGTCATTCAGTCAGTCGTACAAAGATGCAACAACCAGAACCCTCCCAGCTTCTTTTCACCGGTTCTGCCTGGAGACGCAGCCATGGTTCCACAGGGCAGCGTCCTCATCGTCAGGAGTCCTTGGTGTGTGAGATCTGTCTCCACAGCAGAGCTTTCAGGTTGTTCAGGATGAGCGAGTGCTCCATGTTCATCTGTCCAGCGTTTCCCCTCAGAGCCATGCAGGAGTACAGCTGCTGCTCCAGCTCTTCTCTCAGCTCTGAAGGTGCCCCGCGCAGAAGGTAGTCCTTCAGAGCACCGCACGCCTTTGCCAGGTTCGGCTGCAGCGGCTCCACCCTGCACCGCCTCGCTGTCGAGTCACAGGATGTGTGGCAGTCCACCCCGTACACACAGTCAGCATCCGTCTCACACTTCAGGACTTGCATGGAGCGTCTGAACTCGTCCTCAGGAACCATCACTCGTGTGTTGGTGAGACGCAGCTCGTGGCGGTCGGTGTAACCGAAGTGTGCTGCAGCAAGGTCGCAGATCAGGAAGCTCCCGTAGGTGCCATGGAAGATGTCCTCCACCAGCTCCAGAAGCCCCATGGAGATTTTAGCTTTGCGAGGCCAGGATGGAGTGAACCACTGGTCCATGGCGCGCTGCAAGCCACCAGGAACCCAGGACACAAGAGGCCATGGCAGCGAGAGGCCGTACAGCGGCCCGTAGGGGACCCGCTCCGTCATGTAGAGGTCCCCGCAGTAGCCAAGGAGGCGAGGGGTGTGTCCACGGTCCTGGAGCAGCAGACCCAGCAACACCTCAACAGAGAGGAGATCCAAGTCATCACACAGCTTCAGGACTTTCTAAATTCAACTTGGGTTCAGGCCAGATTTGATCCCGCCTGCTAGTACTGTTTCATCCATCCATCTCTGACTTTTCCAGTTTTATTCCCACTCTTCCCTTCCTCCAGGACTCAGACACACTCCATCCCACGCTTCCTGTTTCTCTCAAATCTTTCCTTCTACCTGATTAAACTGTTATTAAATGCATAACACATCTTTTCTAGTAAAACCGTAGAAAGTCCAGATACCTCGTCCATCTGCAGCAGGGCCCATGTCGAGCGAGCCTCTGGTAGGGACACCCGTCCATCCCGGTTACCGTCGGCAACAGAGAGGATCTGGCTGACCAGGCTGGCTAGGTTGGGATCTTCTCCAAGCTTGGACTGGCGGACAGATAAGGACATGTCAGAACTTAGATCTAGTGGCAGAGGCGGGGCCAAGTCCCAAGTCAAGTCTCGTTTTGTCACAATGTTGAACATGAATCTTGCTGTTCTTTTCTCCTCCCGGTGGCGACACCGCGGCCATGGTGATGGACCAGCAGGAGCACCTCTGAATAAACTAACCTCCTCGTTGTCAGCTAGCAGCCAGGTGATCTCCAGACATGCTATAACAACAGCTTGTTCGACTGTTGCACTTAGATAAAAGGTCCATCTGCTGTAAACCACAATATAGAACCCTCCATGCTGAGCCAGTTAGCTGCCCGTTGTTCTCGGATTCGCTTGGAAAGCAGGATTTAAAATATACCAAACCAGTTTATTTGTAACAGCACATCTCGAGACAGCGTGAGCTGATCAAAGTGTCCTCACGTAGCTATGTGTAGCTAGCAAACGAGGACCGCGGTGAAGTTAGCCTGAAGTTGGATATTCGACAGACATCGGTTTACACGGTCAGCGATGAGTCTTTATGGCGTGCACTGCGGCACAGACGGCGGTAACCTGAGTTCTGAGGACTCGCTAATGGGAACGGTGGTTCGCTTAGGGACTATCAACAAATTTGTAGTGATTCGTAAACGAGTACAAAAAAAATTAAAAGCTTTCAGAATAATTTGCTAAATGACGCAAAATTACTTCTGACTTGTGTTACTAAACTACATTTACAAGACACAACAGTTTTAACACATTTCACACAATCTGATCTTTTTTATTAGGATTTTATTCCAAAATTAAGGGATTTTTTTCAACAGCTCCAAGGTAAATCAGTCTAAATCCACAAAACCATTTCTCAATTGTGTTACTAAGCCAGACCAATGAGACACAGCAGTTTATAACAACTTTCATACCATCTGATCGTTTTTATTAAGATTGTAATGAAAAATTCTATTGTTTGTCCTGTGTGTGTGTTGCCCTGCAATGGACTGGCTCTCTGTCCAGGGTGTACCCCGCCTGATTGCCAATTGACCGCTGTACATGTCTTCGTCGGCATCTTGGGTGAGATTATGTACTCTGGGCAGGGACATCTTAAACATCCATCTTCAGGCAAATTGTTGTCTCTGTCCCAACAGTTAAATCTTGTCAGTAGATATGTGCCAAACTGGGCGTTGAGGTCTGCTGATTGCCTGCTGCTTCGTGTTCCATTAATGAAATACAAAACGCGGGGGCAGCGTGCTTTTGTCTACGCTGCTCCGACACTGTGGAATGCACTTCCTCTTTCGGTGAGGCTGGCACCATCCCTCCTCTGGTTCAAATCGCTGCTGAAGGCTCACTTTTATGACCAGGCATTTTTAAATCCCTGACTTATATTATTTTATTATGTGTCTTTTTATTGACTGTAAATATCTGCCTTGTTGTGCATTTTATTGTTTACCGTGTTTTGTTTTATATTGTGTTTTTACTTTTTATTCTGTACAGCACTTTGGTCGGCTGCCATGCCGTTTTTAAATGTGCTTTATAAATAAAGATGGTATGGTAAGGTAAGGTAAGGTAAGTCAAAAGATAAGTTGGGCCCTCGCTTCTGGAGGACATAAAGGTAATACGCGATCGCCATTTCAGCTAGAAAGAAAGACAAACGAATACATGGACCTCGCCCTGGAACACTAAACAGACCACCAGAGGCCGGATGCTGCTCAAGAACTGCAAGGACCCCAAACTCACCTCGCCCAATGTGCTGACCAGAGCCTTGGTGGCTGTGATGTTTGTTTTTGTGAAATACTAAAACTTAAACCATCATGGCACAAGACTAGATTAGAGAGAATTTGACCTCGTCACTTACTGATGAAAAGGTTCACCTGAAACAAGAGGCCAATTGAAATTAAATGGACTGCGTACCAATGCGATTGATATCAAGCCAGGTGGTGACGAGGGACGTTCTGATTGAGAAAGGTTACCATCGACGAGATCCCCACTCTAAGACAGGAGGAAGAAGAGCATACCACCTAGGAATTTGCGGGAGGAGAGGTTTGATTGAGGTCAAAGATTTTAATTGCAATGGCCTGAAGCTGCGTTGCTGAGCATTGAAAAATGGTTTCGAGTATTTACAGCAATTAGCTTAAGAGCTATATAAATAAATCACTTATTTTTTTAATAAAAGTTCTAATAAAAGGGTCAGAGCTTGTGAAAACAACTGCTGTGTTTCATTGGTTTGGCTTAGTAACAACATTGAGAAATGGTTTCGAGTTTTTTGACTGATTTACCCAGGAGCTATTGACAAATTACTTTTTTATTAATAAAATCAAAATAAAAATGATCAGATCTTGTGAAACATGATAACTGCTGTGTCTCATTGGTCTGGCTTAGTAACATCATAGAGAAATTGTTTTGGGTATTTTGACTAATTTACCCAGGAGCTATTGAAAAAAATACCTTAATTTTGGAAAAAAATCCTAATAAAAAAAGAGTTAAAATTCTTCTTCCGGCTCTTGGAGAGTTCAGACGCTTTTTTTTCTCCTCTCCCTCCCTCCTCCTCCCAAGGCTCTGTCCTGTCTTGTGTGCACGGTGCTTTCTGCATTTTTTCTGGAAACTGAAAATTATTAAAAATGGACCTGGTCGGTTGGTCTCTCAACGCGATTGACAAACTTTTTTCAACGATGTGAACGGGAGAAGGGGCTCCCGGATGCCCCTCTGGGACAGAGCCAGCTGGGTATATCATGGACTCCTGGAAACAGTGGAACCTGATCTGCCTCTGTCAACTGTCTGTAGAGGATTCTGAAGATGTCTGGATATTTGTGGTTTTGGTTTTAGGATTCCTGCTGTTTGGCCTGAGCGGTTACCTGGCTTACAGGAAAATTAACGAGCTTTTGAGGAATATTGGCTCAATCCCGGAGCTCAGGGATGGAATGCATCGTGCTGTCAATACACAAACTCATAATTGTCGAGATGAGTCGTAAGCTTGGAACTTTGACTGAGATTCAGGGTCTGGCACAGAAGTTTGATTCCATCAAGGAGCGAGTTGATGGATCAGCACGGACTGGGATAGATTAATTACGCCATTATTGGATCTAGAGGGGTTAGAGACCAACAGAACACTAAGGCAGAGAGGAAATTATCTCTGTCTGTCCCCAAAACAATTTTATCTGAATCTGGTGCCCTTGGAGCCTGTGAGGCTGAAGTGTAAACTCCCCCCTCAGAAATGTGGAATGCTGCAGTCACTATGGAAACTTCTCCCTATCCCAGCCTGGGCGGGACTGTGACCGGTGAAGGCTGTGGAACTGTCTCTAGGAGTCACTGTGCCCTCTAACCCATTATCTCCCTCCCCTGTCCAAACGGAGGTGATGAGCGCTGCTCCATGTGGCTGCACGCATTGAAGTGAGGAGAGTCCCAACCCTACCTCCCACCTAGTGGACACTTATGTTGTGTAATGTCTGAAGTCTGTGCATTTCTGTCTGAGGTGTTTTTTTGCATAGCAAAGCTGCCCTCTCTGTCGGGGGTAACTCTGAAGTGCCTTTTTTCCCTCCCCCTGACTCTATCCTCATATAAACCCTCTTGATCTATTACGGTAGCGCGACTCGGGTTGCGAATGACCACAGTCACCAATTCTTGTCATGTGTCTATGTATGTATGTCTGATCTCAGAATTGTGTGTACTGAAACTAATTTCCCTCTGGGATTAATAAAGTATTTTTGAATTTGAAAAATAAAAAAGATCAGATCGTATGAAAGGTGTTATAAACTGCTGTGTCTCATTAGTGTGGCTTAAGCCCCCTTCAGACAGGCCATGAAAAACGGAAATGTTCGGGACTCTGTCCGTAAGACCTTTGTGTCTGAATACAAACATCCGGATAACCTTTTCCGTAATTTAACCGGACGAAGCCCCTAGTAACAGGTCCGGACTTGTTACGGACAAGGTGGCTGCTTCAGACTGGTGAGGTCGAGTTCCGGACAGGGAGGAGGGGGACGCTGTGCGCACCTAGATAGCTCGCTCCTGTAGCATGCGGCGAACCATGGCAGCTCGCCTCCTACGGTACCGTCTCCTAGACGAGCGACGGAGCGCTTCACACCGCTTCCGTGATTCCTTTAACCATTGAGCTTCATCATCCAGGTCTCTTATGCATCTTTGTGTGTGCAGAACTATGCTTAACATAAGTCCGATCAGTGAGAGGAATTCTATCTCTTCGTCTGCCATGTTTGACTGAATGGCTTTGTTTGGGTAAATGACGCGTGTACGCCCGCCGCACTATGTCCCCCCCCCCGACATCTGTAACTTTTCCCTGCTGTGTGAAGGCAGCCGAAAGGACACGTTCCGGTACAAAGTGGTGTGTCTGAAAACACAGCTCTGGTTAAAAACTGGACTGAATTGTCCACACATATTCCAGAATGTCAATCTGAAAAGGGTTTAAGTAACACAACTGAGAAATGGTTTTGTGGATTTAGACAGATTTACCTAGAATCTATTGAAAAAAGTCCCTTAATTTTGGAATAAAATCCTAATAAAAAAGATCAGATTGTGTGAAATGTGTTAAAACTGTTGTGTCTTGTAAATGTAGTTTAGTAACACAAGTCTGAAGTAATTTTGAGTCATTTAGGAAATTATTCTGGAAGCTTTTAATTTTTTGTACTCGTTTACAAAGGACTACAAATTTGTTGATAGTCCCTAAGCGAACCACAGTTCCCATTAGCGAGTCCTCGGAACTCAGGTTACCACTGTCTGTGCCGCCGTGCACGGCATGAAGACTCATCGCTGACCGTGTAAACCGATGTCTGTCGAATATCCAACGTCCAACTTTAAGCTAACTTCACCGCGGTCACCTGAGGCGGGCTTTTCTTATCTGAAGACAAGATGATCACCTCGGCTGCAACATACAGAATACATAACCTACTAACATCTAAACGCTTAGGGAGGAGAGACTCGGCTGCTGCAGGATGCTTTATCGACTGAAAGGAACAAGGAGATATGGATGTTTCGTTTTTCTTCTCTCATGAGAGGGGGACCTCTTTATCTCCCAGTTTATATCAGCACCATCGGTAAAAAGCCAGTCTTTAGCATCCCTAGTTAAAACTAGTCCAAGTCATGTCTTTGAATGTTTTTAAGTCAAGTCTAAAGCTCAGTTTGCTCCACTCTGATTTCCTGTGATGCTCACCTGTTACAGCCACACACCTGCACCTGTGGGGTTGGCTCGGAGGTCAGGAAGAGCTGTGTTCTGTTCCTCTTCATCACAGACAACAGGTGCTCACACAGGTTAGTGCTGCTGAACATGGAGAACATCTGGACCACGCTGCTGGTCAGCGTGTCGGGAGGAGAGAGAACAACTACAGCAGCTACAGAGTCAGACTGCCTGGAGCTAAATCGTCTCGGTCTGGAAGTTGGTCGGTGAGCTTTCTCTGTCAGCAGCAGATTACTGAGCTGCTAAAATCCATTTCTGTGCTTCAAAGTTGGCTAATTTCTGAGTAAGAGGAGTGTTTTCAGTTTGTCCGAGACAGAGGAGGTACTGCTGCAGACGCTGATGCTAGTAGCATGGGCGCTAATGACTGTAAAGATACTGGGTTTTTCTCCTTGAAGCATCAACATGTCCATCTTTGTTGAAACACCTTCAATCTTTCTCTTCCTGGACATGTTGGGATCATTTGTGGATGGTTATTTTCTCTTGTTGCATTAATTAAACACGAATGTGGATACACCGCGACCTAGTGGAGAAATACTGCCACTGCACTGGGAACACAATCATTATGGGAAATGTAGTTTATAGCCGATGCACACTTTGAAGCGGCATAGACCTATTTTAGGACACTTGGAGCTCTTGCGGGCCACATAAAATGATTTGGCGGGCCACATCTGGCGTGTCTGACACGTGGTCTAGTGGGTCTGAACCCTTTGACAGCCAGAATAATGTTTCCCACCTTCAGGTGATTGAAGACCATCTCTTTGAACTTCTCCACCGAGGTGCCTCTGGTCGGCTTGTCGAATGCGAAGGCCTGTCTGTGGGGCTCTGGTTCCTCCCCCAGCTCATAATGCACCACCTCCCCCAGATTACAGCGGATGAGCCCACTATAGTCTCCCCAGCTTCCCGTGTACACCTGGTGAAGAGCAGAACGCCAGTGATGACCACAGGCCTCAAACGAGGAGGCTGAACAGTACGTAGCTCCGTCTCCTACCTGGTTGTTTGCTAGTGTGGACAGACACCTGCCCAGGTAAAGTGTTTCTTTGTCACACAGACTGCTGCAGGCTGAGCCATCGATGATCCCCCTCCGGTATTTATCACACTTAGGAAAGAACAACATGAAATCAGACCCATCTGTGTTAACACACCAGCAAACGGACTGAATTCACACCGACGATGACGATCAGCAGCTTGTGTGTGAGGTGATCTGATGTTCAGCTCCCTCCTCCTGAGAAGCCGAGTCATGTCCATGTTCCCATGGGTCACACGGGGACATGGACTTGCTGCACTATCAAGTTTTATTCTCTCCAATGTAAACCTTTGTTTATTATTTAGAGACACTTGATGCTGACTAAGGTTACATCTTTTCTTTTCAGGAGTAACGTTTTGGTTCACGTTTATAATTGCTCTTTTAAATCACACCATTACATGTCTGGGTCTCAGGAGGATAATACTCTAACTGGGAAGACAATACTCGAGTAACTTGGACTGCAGTTGTGTTGTCATGCAACGACTCACAATGGCGCTCTTGCACTCGTGTCCCCTGCACAGCTCCGTGTAGGCTGAGTATTGCACATAAAGCACCCAGCTGCCCACCAGCACCGCCAGCCATGTGAGGAACAGGTACTTCACCCGCACACAGGAGACCCGAGCCTGTCGGGGACGGCAGAGACAAAAGGTCCAACATGATCTTCTGAAACCCAATGTGAGAAATGATAAAACAACATCTTGCATTTGGATTACAGCATGAACACATTACAGGTCCACACCAGCGCCAGTAAAAGCTTCATTCAAGACTGACAACCAGCCCTGATTCCATTAGAGGTTGCTATGGTGACAGCACGTGACGCCATAGCAACAATGAGCTCGTGAAGCTAGGGGACGGTTGGGGACAGATCATAGTTGTAGAGACAAAGCTGTTGGTTCATGGTTGGTTATAAGAAATCTAATTAGTGTCGGACTCACATGACTGAGAATACCCGAGTAAACCTCGCCTGGTTTGTGTTCAAACTAATAATCTTTGATCTAATAGAAAATGCATCAATCAGCTACTTTATTAGGTACACCTCATAATTCTTGTTGTTCTGGTCCTCAGAGGTTCAGATCCTTAGAGGTTCTGGTCCACAGAGGTACTGGTGCTCCTGTGGGAATTGTAACCTCAGTTTCCTCTCAGCAGATGGTCTAGATGAATAACTCGGTCTTTGTCAGACCCGTCACCTGCATGTCTACCACACCCCCTCAGGGCCATTTTAGGTGTACGACTTGCGTTGCTAGGGGAAGCAGCAGCTGAAGTTGATGCAGAACAAGAGTCGAAAGGACAAGGATGAACACAGCCTTTACAGGGATAAACTTGTGAAGGAGGCTAGAGATCGGTATTTTCACAAACTCTAAAATCAACAATGTAGATCCCTACGACCTCAGAGGAAACTAATGGAGCTCAGACTTTTCATTACTGCAGATAAGATATCACCTGAGTAAGTGTAGCAGTACTTCAACACATTTATAATCAAGTAAAAGTAAAAAGTAGCCGTCCAGAAACATGACTCCACTAAGTTAGTGTCTGTGTAAACCAAATCATGTCAGATTCTACTGACCTGTTCTGTGGGGTACCCCAAGGCTCTGTTTTGGGTCCACTGGTGTTTCTACTGTACATACACCCTCTTGGACAGATAATTGATTATTTTCATGACGTCCCTTATCACCTACATGCAGATGACATTCAGCTGTACTGCTCCTTTAAGGATTCTGAGTTCTATTCTATCAGCTATCACCAGCTGTCGAGGAGATCGCTCCTTCCCGACTGTTGCACCCCGACTTTGGAATGATCCTCCTTTATCCTTACATAGTACTGAGAGTCTGGGCACTTTTAAAATACAGCTAAAGACCCTTTAATTTTTTTTATCAACTTTCTTTCCTTTCACGCTGCATCGTCTGAATCTTAATCCGAGGTCTTTTGCCGTTCCACACATTTTTAGTGATAGCCGCTTGTAGTTTGGCCCAATATTGCCGCGGAGGAGGTAGTGGGATCATCGAGCTGATGAAGTTTACCCGAGGCAAGATCTTCATTTTAATGACTGAGACTCGGCTGCGTAGTGAATTTTTAAATTTAGCCCATTTCTCCAAATCCAAGATCACCTTCGTTAATGTTTTGTCAAAGTTGTATTTTATGATGTTTGAGATTGTTGGATAAATCTCTATGCCCAGATAAGTGAAGTGTTCCACCACTGGAACCGCAAGGGGAGCCTGAGCAACATCTGGGGCTCCGCTTAGCCACACCAAGGCCGATTTTTGCCAGTTGATTTTGAAGCCGGAGACTTTACCATACTTACTAAAGATAGATAAAATATTATGCATGCAGCTGACTGGGTTATCAATATACAACAGGAGGTCATCAGCATATAAAGATACTCCATGTTGGGTATTATTAATAGAAATCGGTGAAAAAGAATTTGATCATCGTAAAACCTGAGCAAGGGGCTCCATAGACAAAGCAAACAGCAAAGGACTTAAGGGACATCCTTGTCTGGAGCCCCTTGAAACCGAAAACGTAGAAGAGCACGTCCTACCAGTCACTACTGCAGCCGACGGGCTTTTATAGAGAACCTTAATCATAGTGATGTAAGAGGGGCCAAAACCCATGTGCTTGAGCAAAGACCAAAGGAAAGGCCACTCAAGGCGGTCAAATGCTTTCATAGCATCCAGAGATGTCGCGGCACAGCTCCATGAGCCGCTCCAGTCACTGCGTCTCGTTATTGGCGCTATAACCAACGTTGTATAATAACTTCTGCCCAGCCCAGATGTGCTCACTTGTGCACCCGTGAGCCGTGGTTCTGCTGGAACATGTCTGATCTCTGACAGACGCACTCTGAACTTCAGATCTTCAGCGCGCTGTTAATAGCCTGAATGGGAATCATTTCTTGATTGATTTAGTTACGTCCACAATGTTCTGTGTGTGAGGTTTACAATAATGACGGCTCACTTGACCGCAGTGTTTACAATGTCCGAACACCTGCATGAGAAGGGATGTTAATTACAATCTGCCAGAATGACTCGCCACCTTCAGATTTCTCCAACACCGTTAAAAATGATCAAATACGGAACATATCGGCGTGCGCAGGCCAGAGCGCTGAAGCTCGGCGCATTGTTATTATGAAGCTAGGGCACATGTGGAGGACATGCGCGCGCGCGCGTGGGCAAAAATATACTTGTTTTCAATTAAATTCATTGTGCCCACTTACTTTTTCTTTGGCTCACCCACAAATGAGTTTCTGGCTACGCTAATGGTGACATATGACAGACTTCTCTGAGCTCCGCAGCCATTACACTTTTCACCTCGCGCACCCCCTAGCGGCGTGCGCGCACCACACTTTGGGAATCCCTGCACTAGACTATATGACGAGTTTTTCTCTTGCCTTTTTCAACTTTCTAAGTTACATAAAAAGTAGGTCACACATGGCTTTGACTTTTTGGCATTCTACTTTTGACCACCCAAGCTGTCTTTATTCAGCAACAACAAGAAAATGTTGGTTTAGATTCTAGGTCATCTTTACATAAACTAAAATGAGTTTAAAAATCAGCAAAAGGTTAATTATAAAACACAAAAGGCTGAAAGACATTAGAGCAGTCGGGGCAGTTAGAAAATACCCCATCTGCATATCTGAAAGCAAATATGAAGAAATTTGGAACACTTCGGGACCTTTGCACAGGTCAGTGGGGTCTGAGGTCACCATTCCAGCGGGTGTATGATTAAACTACAGCGGAAAATGAAGAGCAGTTAGAACAGACTGGAGCAAAAAGTATAAAAGAGAGGACAAACTGCCTGCGTCTGACATAATCTCTAACTAACCTAAAGTCATGTGTATTTTGGCAGCTGGTGCCTCTTATTCAGGTCCAACACGGCTCCCAAATCCTCGTAAAAATGGATCCCAACCAGCAGGGCAGAAGCGGACTGAGCAACATTTCTCTAATCCCAGTCGTGGTCTGGTTGTTGTGTTTGAGCAGGTAAACGGATTTTAGGTCAAGATAAAAACAAAAGATTTTCACTCTTATGAAAACAGATCAAACTGTGTTCATGTGAGCATTGTGATTAACACAAACTCCCGCAGTAGATGATAATAAAGCATAAGCAGCAGCATTCCTCTGAGCTGAATAAGACTGTACCCAACGGGATTCAGAAAAGACGACATTTATGACGAATCACTGGTTAGACTGGTTAAAGTTTGGCAGCAGATCATTGTTTAACTGGAAAAGCCAGTTAGCTGTTGGGACCAAATGTGTTACTTTATAAAGTACAAATACTTAGTTACCTTACTTTAGAAATGTTGGGTATTTTAGCGTTAACTCATTCACTGCCATTGACGACAAAAGCCGTCATTTTAAATCCAACTGTTCACTGAACGAGCTCCCGCACCGTGAGAACAAACATCGCAGCTCTAAAGCCGATCTTCATCTGCGTGCGTCACACGTCACGTGACCAGGAAGCAGAACATCCATGTGTTAGGAGATCGTTTTGGGCCGCTGCTGTAAAAAATGCGAGGCGCGAACCAGAAAAGCTTCTGCCGATCACAATTCAACAACGGATTATGAAAGAACGGATAACGCTCGAAACGCGCGGATTCTTCCTGATGTAAGAGGTGAGTGTCCTCTTTGTTTTGGTTGTTTTGGTGTCGACATCATCCTAGCGCGCAACGTTCTGTCACTCTTAAAAAAACAATAAAACGCTGAAAAACGCTGGCAGCGAAGGCTTTACCGATCAGGAAACGGCCGGCAGTGAATGAGTTAAGGAGTGGGTACGTATGTAACAAACGATCAATAAGATGTGATAATTCCATATAAATATGAAGTATAGACCGATTGATCTTTGAATGTTTAATCAGAACATTCTAGTTTTACTTGTGGGACCATAAACACACTTCATATTAATTCAGACAGAGTCAAGTTTAGTTTATAAAACTGAATTTATTTCTATTTCCCTAAACTAATGATTACACAAGACAAGTATAAACGATGATATGTGATGTAATGGTATGAGGTGATTTAATGTGACGTGTGAAATGCTGGGATGGAAGCTAGATGTTTTAGCAAAACCTTTCTCAACTATCTGAGACCGATTGTGGAGTCTGGGTTGTAAAAGAATGTGGCTGTATGTTTGGTAAACTAGAGACTTGTTCATAAAACCATCCGACGCCAGCGTGCAGCCTACGATACCCTTTGTATGTGTTGCTCCCGGCGGTCCAGAGGAAGGGCGGCCCAAGTGGTGATCCACCGGACGTCGAGACCACAAGAACCCAAAGAGTCGTAGCCTCCTTTGAAATCAGCTTTCACCGGCCATGAGATGCAACCAGGTCCGCAGGTTAGATGTCTGAGGTGTGGAGTAGCTCCTAAAAGAGCCGCTGTGTCTGTAATCACGCGCAGCGAAGCTTTGACTTGATGACAAAAGAGAAGATGGTTTCAAAATGTGTTTTCCTCCGATGTGGCCAAATCGAAAGTCAGCTGGAAACTCAATTAATCGAGAAGTAATTCCTGTTTTATCAAATCATTGTTTACAAATTTGGCAAATCAGAATTTGACACGTTTGAAGGCTTTATCAAAACATTGCCTCAGACGTCACTCCTTCAGTCTGATCCTCAGAGAGGCTAACTCTTCGTGTGAATGAGAATGTTGTAAAAACTTCTGTGAAGTGGATGTTAAACCTTACTAATTATCTTATTACCATGTGTATGAGTATCGGTAGATGAACTTGTTAAATCAAACACACACACTGCGTGTGCATCACTTCCAGTTTCCAGCTAGAGGAGCCGTTTTAAACCGGATGAGCTAGGTAAGCAGAGTTGGATCATTAATAACTCGTTTTATTTTCAAATATCTTCCATTTATTCAATGAAAATATAAAGTTTAGGCATATTACTATATAAGCACTTCAACGTGTGTTTAAAATGAAAGATGGCCTTTAAAGGTGAATACATAAAAAGCCAAGTGAGAAGGGCCAATGACAGGAGAGTCTGAATTATGTTTCAAAGCACAGATCAAGTGCTTGGATTTAGTTTTATGCTGAGGAAACATTTCCACCACCTCGTGTGCCTTAGCTCCATCTAAAATGCCCCCTGCCCAGAGAAAGGGCCCTGCCCCTCCACTTGAAGCCCCTGATGTTTACCCCAGTGTCAGAGCCTCCCTGCAGCAGCAGCTCTCATCGGGTATTCTCAGACCGACCCAGGCAACACGCACTGCTGCAGCTGTCAGCCGCCACAGCAACTCCTACCTGGAAGTAGAAGGACTTCTTCACCCAGGCCCGTGGAAACAGAGCCTTCGCCATCGCAGACATGGATCATGGACCCGGGGAGGATCATCCAAAGCACACAGGTCTGGAGCTCCAGCCTCACCGCGACCCGCGGCGGTCGGGACGCCCGGGTTGTCCCGTCCGGGGATTGGTGTTGCGCTTTCGCGGCTCCGCTTGGCAGCAGCAGCTGGTTTTCAAGAAAAGGGACATATCACAGCTGGAGAGAAAATATGCTCAGCGCGCATGCGCAGCTTGTCCGTGGCTTTAGCCAAACGGACGTAAACTAGAAGCACTCACCTCCTACCGACGCAATAATCACGAGAGTGCGGTTTCTATGTACTTTATTACCCAGCTCGCAGGTCAAGTTCACCACCAAAACCATTTCCGTAGTTCTTTCACAATAAAAGCCAGGACCAAACATGACTTCCGGTCATAAACAGTCATTCGGCGCAGGGAATATCCGAGTGGATCACACACACATTGACTTATTCACCAGAAAACGTGTGTGTATGAAGGTACAAAGGGTGCTTTTTACGAAGGCAGCTCGTAGCGGGCCGTGTTCACCAGACTGGAGTTTCACACGTTTCTTTAGAAGCACCGCAGGAGCTGTTAGCTCCTTCAGGGTTAAGCTAAAGGCTCTTATCTGTCTTTAAGAGGCGGATGTCGTGAGCTTGCTCGATGCCCTGCCTCCAAATTCAAATGTTCGAGAACGGGCGAGAGCCGCGGCGGTTCCCGTCATGCACTCCCCCACCAGCGGGAAACAAAAATGGCGAACGTGCCGAGGAGAAAATGAGCCGTTTGTTCCGTGAGGAAGGCGCCGGCCCAGCACGCTCACAGGCTGCGCCTCGGTAGTAACCCTGCGGCAGGAGGGGAAGGAGCACGGCGCCGTTCCCACTCAGAAGTTTAGTCTTTTGAGTCATTTGTAGAAGCGGAGGTTACCGAATGAGGTATTGTTGTCATGTCTTCCTCCTGAGGGGGTGTGGGTCCGGCGGTCCGTGACCCGACCGGGGCACCAGCCCCGCTTGTGTGACCGGGGTTCTCGTGTAAATGTTATCTCATCATGAAACGAGCCTCCCGCCGGCTCGGGGCCTCCCGTGGCGGGGTGATGCTAACAAAGGGGGCTGGAGGAACCCGGAGAGAGGTCTGCGCCGCCACTAGCGCGTGCTGCCGTGTAGCGAACGAACCCACAGCTGCACCCTCCTCTGCGTCCAACGCTATTTTGTGTTGTTGTGCGTTAACGTTGGCATGCAGGGTCACCTGTTGTGTGCTCCCGCTGGAGCGGAAGTGGCTTCACTATTCTGTGAGCTGCTCTCGTGCACACGGTGCACCCCAGTAGTGAGCTAGCTGCTCTCGTGCACACGGTGCACCCCAGTAGTGAGCTATAATCCCAGAACAATGACTCCTCAGGATGCTGCTGCAGTCAACAGCCCAGAGACCCCCACGCCTCCAGCCTCAGAAGACCACTAGTCACGTGTTTAGGGCCACAGGTTTAGTTCATCCACATGATCCATTCCTGCTTCTTGTCTGGTTGTTTTATTACAGAGACTCGGGGGTGTCCGACCACCTTCCCCTCCACCATCACCCCGAGCAGCAGGCTGCACCCTGTTCACCCAGCAGCCTCTCTGCTAGTGGGGACCATGAGCAGGACAGCATGGCTGCCAGGTTCATAGAGGGACAGGATGTGCTGGCCAGGTGGTCCGATGGCTTGTTCTACTTGGGGACAATCACGAAGGTTGGTGGGGGGATTCATGTGTCCACCCTTAAAGAAGTCAGCTGTTCCCTGCTACAGAGTCTCCCAGTTTCTAAAAGCACAACACGGCGGTGATGAAAATGGTGCTTTAAAAAAGGAGAATAAACGTGTTTGTTTTCTGTTTCAGATCGATCCGGAGAAGCAGCGGTGCTTTGTGGTTTTTGAAGATCGGTCCAAGTCGTGGGTTCTGTGGAAGAACATCCAGACGGGTACGTTTTTAGTACAGCTGTGGTTCTGGTGTCTTTTCCCCCAACCCTGTGTGATTTGCTTAGTCAGCTCTTTGTTTTTACTTCCTGTTGTTGGCGACGGTTAACCGTCCTCCCTATCAGCTCACCAGCAGTAAACCGTCTCCGTGGGAAGATCCACGTAGGAAAGATAACCAGAAGCTGGCCTCTCTGCACACCCACCATTTAAATCAGAAATCTAATCAGACTCTTTGTGAGGGAAATGACGTCGTTTTCAAGGGGTGGGACTTGGTTAAAAATAAAATCCAATTAATTAGAGGCTTTGTAATTAATTAATCTGAATTAGTCACATTTTAATTGTTCAGGAAAATGTGCCCTCAAAGCAAATACACTGACATTTGTTTTGTTTGCCGATGATTCCACTATTTTCTGTGCAGGAGATAATATTAGTGACTTAGAAAGGATGGTCCAAATTGAAATGTGCGTCATTAGAGTGGTTTATTGAAAATAAGCTTACATTAAATATAGCAAAAACTAAATGTATGTTGTTTGGTATGGCTAATAAAACTGAGGTTAAGCTGCAAATAGATGGATGTGAAATAGAGCAAGTAACAGAACATAAGTTCCTTGGAATAATAATTGATAATAAATGAAGTTGGAAACCACAAATTAAACATGTATATAATAAAGTTGCGGGAAGCATCTACATTATGAATAAAGCTCGATAGTACCTGGATTATAAATCACTCCATGTCCTTTATTATTCATTGATTTATCCCTATCTTATTTACTGTGTATGGGGTAACACTTATAAAACATCTATTGTACCCTTGTCTATCATACAGAAGAGAGCCCTGAGAGTCGTTCACAATGTTAGATTTAGAGAACACACTCATCCGTTATTTATATATTCTAAAATACTGAAATTTAAAGATTTACTTCAACTATATACAGCGACGTTCATGTATGAAGTGCATAGGAAATTATTACCAAACAAATTATTAATGCTATTTATAAAACCAGATAACGTGTATAATTTCAGATACAAACTTAACTTTAGGCATTTTAGAACAACGTTAAAGTCATTTTGTATTTCTGTTACGGGTGTAAAAGTCTGGAATAAGCTAAGTGGGGATCTAAAGCAAAGTCCCTCATTGCAACAGTTTAAAGAGAAGTATAAAGAAATTATACTAATTAATTACATGGAGGAGGAGAAGTTGTAAGGGCGTTGCATTTGATTGTAACTGTCTATCGCTGGTGAACTGGGAGCTGTGAATATTGGATGGGGGGGGCATAAAAAATGTAAACTTTGTTTGTGTGATTGAAGATAAAACATGTTATAAGAACATGGCTATGACACTCCGTGTAGGGAAAATAATTTTTTTCTTTTATCTTTGAGTTTTTTTGGGGGGGAATTATATAAGCTACCAGAGCATCTTTCCCTCCCTATTGAACATGTTCTACATATATATATATATATATATATATATATATATATATATATATATATATATATATATATATATATATATATATATGTATATATGTATATATATATATATATGTATATATATACAGGTTTCTTTTTGAATTCTTTAAATTGTCTATTGATTCACATGTTCAATAAAGAAATAAATAAATAAATTTTTAAATAAAAACGAGGCAGAGAATCAAACATCAGACATGGTTATTATTACTGTAAACTCATGCTCTTAACTTATAAAAAAAATGCATTTAATTATTCAAATGTCACTGTGATATGGAACAAGACCCAAACCAGCTAAAATGTATAACTGCAAATAGAAAATGCCTGCAAATGGTTCCTGAGCCTTTATATTGTCTCTCAGTCTAGTTGAGTTACTGAATTAAATGGATAGTTCTTTTTTAAAACACAGAGCAGTTTTGTTGACCTGTTTTCCCGCTACGTTTCGTCTGCGGCTGCAGCCGCAACCGTGTCTTCAACACACCTCGCTGCTGAGTGATCGTAACACATGCATTAGACTGACTCTTCTCAGAAACATATAACAAACCAACAGAACTGTTTCTGTTGTTTGTTTGTTATTTAAAACATCCTTTAGTGCTGATATTACTCTAAAGCAGTGGTACTTAATTCTGGGCCTGGATGGCCCAGCAGGTTTCAGTTTGTTTCAACTCACCTGATTTCAGTCAGCAGGTGATTAACAGGCTTCTGCAGAGCCTGATGAGCTGCTTCACAGGTAGTTCAACCACTGAATCTAGTGTGTGGGAGTAGAGAAACCACTAAAACATGCTGACACCAGCCCTCCAGGACCAGGATCGAGAACCTCTGCTCTAAAGGTTTGTGAGTGCCAGGGTTTCGTCTGAGAACAGAAACATCAGGATGTTGAAGTCCGTATATAAATGTTGGTGAGTGGCTGTTGGTGGCCGTGTTAGCCGCTGGCTCACGCTGCTACGGTTATGATACCCATTCAGTAGGGATGCTCCGATCCAACGTTGCTCTTATCTGAGATATCATCTTACCAAACGTGGTGCCCTTGGCGAGATCTCATAGCCCTTCCCCCATGTGCAGGCACACGCATCCCACACACCAGACATACCGGTAAATCGAGAGCTTCGCCTTCTGACTCAGCTCTCAGACCGGTACAACGCCCGCATCACTGCAGATGCAGCACCAATCCTCCTATCGATCTCTCGCTCCAGTTTTCCCTCACTCGTGAACAAGACCCCGAGATACTTAAACTCCTCCTCTTGGGGCAGGACCTCATCCCTGACCCGGAGAAGGCATTCTACCCTTTTCCGAATCAAGACCGTGGTCTCAGATTTAGAGGAGCGGATTCTCATCCCAGCTGCTTCACACTCGGCTGCGAACCGCTCCAGCGAAAGCTGAAGATCACATTCTGATGAAGACAACAGGGCCACAATATCATTGTCTCATGCGCTCGTGCTCAAACATCATAAAATTAACATTACATTATTAAGAAATTAACTAATTAATTATGTCATAACATCATCATTACTGTAACATTTCCAGTCCTCCGTCCTTGTTGCGTCTTCCTCCTCTTCTTTTCATTTTTCCTCCCCTGGGCTCCAGATCATTGAGGGCATTGGACATGTTGAGCTAGCAGAACCATCAGAAAAGACCATTCTCCGTGTAGTAGGTAAGGGCTGATGGAGGGGCTTTGGCTTCATAAGACAGTGACTTGATTCAACATCTGGTGGTGGTCAGAGGGGCCGATGGCACAGAATGTCAGCCTCGCCTCTGTCAAACTGCCCAGGGCAGCTGTGGCTTCATAGTAGCTTATTGTCACCAGCAGTGTGTGAACGTGAGTGTGAGAAGGAAAGTGCTTTGGGTCATGAGAACAGCGCTATATAAATCTAATCCATTATTATTATTATTATTATTATTATTATTATTATTATTATTTATGACTCCATAACTTCTGATCAGAATGTCGTTTTGAAACACAACACACCTCTTTGGGGTTGTGGCAAGGTAGTGAACTAACTACAACCTCATTTTCTAACAACCCGTCCTCGTTGCCCGATGCGTTAAAAACTGCTGCGAGTGCTCAGGGACCGTCTGCAAATGTAGGCACCACTGTGCAGGTCATGCAGCCAGATCATTTCTGTAGAAACAGCTTTAAATAAAAGAGTCTTCAGCTGTTTTTAATGGTGTCCAGACTACCAACGCTGCGTGAGGATAAATGAGATCATTCCAGAGTCGGGGTGCAACAGTCTGGAAGGAGCGATCACCTCCACTTTTATATCTGGTCTTTGGAACTTCTAGAAGGTTCTGGTGGGTGGATCTGAGGGCTCGGGTCGGAGCATAAAGCTTTATCAGGTCAGTAAAATAGGGAGGAGCTTGACCATGTAGAGCCCTGAAAGTTCTAGTCAGGACTCTAGAGTTAACGGGTAACCAGTGCAGAGACATCAGAACAGGAGTGATGTTCTGTTTGCTCCAGTTAGGAGCCTCGCTGCAGAGTTCTGGACCAACTGAAGGTGGTCAAGGGCTTTTGCTAAAACACGTGAAGAGTGTGTTACAGTCATTTAGACGCGAGGAGATAAAGGCATGGAGAACCATTTCTAGTTCATGTTTAGACACCAACCTTCACTGTTTGGAGATAAAAACGGTTTCGGACCAACGTTTTTGAGTGGCCTTCAAGAGACACTGATTGGTCAAAAACACCCAAATTCCTTAAGTTTGACTTGACTGCAGAGGATAAATGACCAAGTTTAGACTAATCAGGGGAGCCATGCTCTCAGGGGCGATGATCAGACATTCAGTCTTTTCAGCGTTTTACTGAAGGAAGTTATCTTCTAGCCAGCTGGTGATCGCTGATAGACACTCTAGTCATTCAGACAGTTTATAGGAGTCAGAATCCTTAAAAAGTGAGTAACACCTAAATTAACTCTTTTTTGCTGATGTAGCAATTAAAACATATTAATTAGGACCAATAAGATGTGATGATTCCATATAAATATGAAATGTCAACCTGATCTTTGATTCTAGGGTTCTTTTCTTCTTCAGAGACCATAAACACACTTCGTATTAATTCAGACAGTCAGTATGTAGTTTATAAAATTAATTTAATTCTTTTTCCTAATCTAAGGATTATACATGACAACATATGACTAATGAGGTGTGGTGTAATGGATATGGAGTGATTTAATGTGATGTGTGAAATGTAATGGAAGCCAGATGTTTAGCAAAACCGTCTTTGTATCTGAGAGAAAAGGTGAAGTCTGGGTTGTAAAATAATTTGTTGTTTCTTATAAACTACAGAGTTGTTTATTTATAAAAGTCATCAGACGCGATCTGTTGGGTCTACTACCCTTGTGGAGACCCCCAGTGCAGATCCAGGACTGTCAGAAGTCTGATGAGCTCAAGGTATCCGAAGCCGTAAAGTAGCTCCGATACGACTCGTCTGGTCTTGCGATGTCTCAGAGTCACAACAGGAAGCTGGAATGCTTGTCGGCGTCCAAGGTGGATGTTCGGCTGGCTCTTGGAAGAGAGCTGTCTGGCTGTATCAGCTTGCTGCGTTGCAGAGAGGCCTTTTACTGGAGGTCAGAGGAGTTTGTTTCAAAAGAGGCTTCTTTCCCGATTTGGCCGAATCCGGCTCAGCTGGAAACTGCATTAATCGGGAAGTAATTCTTGTTTTATTAAACTACCATGTTACGAGTTCTGGCCAAGTTTGGCAGATCAGAATTTGACACGTTTCTGAGTTTCTACCAACATCTCTCAGAAAACCACGCCCTCCTTCAGATACAAAGATGTTTTTAACCTTATCATGTATCTTATTGTAATGTGTTTGAGTGTAAACACATGCTGATTTGTGAGATAAATGGATCATTGTAAGAACAATCTTCATTTGAAAGCCATCATGGTTAAAGCACAGATTATTCAAACTTCTTGTCCAGTCATCATGTATGATTATCGTAAAGTCCCGTAGGATTTGAGTAGGCTCACTTTTTATTCAGATTGAGGAATGCAGCAGCCAGGCGTTTACGCAGAGTGCCGGGGCCGTGGGAGACTGCTGTCTCCAGCGTTTTCTCTTCTGGTATGTCAACAAGCACTGAGCAGAACCTTCTGGAATTGGAAGCCAAATAGAGAGTGGATTCATGCACGTAGAGTTGGATGGTGAAAACTAGACCCTTTTGGTACGTTACACTGATAACCTGTTTAGAGGAGTGTCTAATGGTGCTGTAGACATGTGTGATCATTAGTGCAACTTACTTTAATAATTACTGTAATTATATCTCCATCTTCAAGTTAAAAACTCGGATCCACATTTATTTAGAATCAGCTAAGATTATAGCTAAGCTGAAAAACATGATGTTGTCAGCAAAGAAGGTGTAGATGGCTGGGATGTAACCCGCCATGTCTGTGAAAGAGAATCCATAGATATATATCTATGAGACGGCTCAGCATACCAGATGTTAGCGGTTAGCATGCTTGAGCCACGTCGGTTAAGGTGAATAACATCTCGCCTGAAAAGAGAAACGGTTCCAAAACAGGTTAAAATTATTGATGAAACCAAAACTGAGGGACCTGCTAGGTCGAGTTTTTCTTGATTATTGAATCACCTACCAGCAAAGTGGTCGGTGAAAACAGTGGACGAGGTGTAGCGGGCTCCTGATTTGTGTTCCCGTGGAGTAGTGGAGGATTCTGGGGTTGGGTTCCTGTGGTGTCGGGGACCTGGCCGTGGAGGAGCTCACCTCCTGAGCCAGGGCAGGAGGTCCAGCATCCTTCAGTGTTCTACGTCAGGCGTCAGAGGTTGAGGTCTGAGGGGAAGAGACTGGAGGTTGTTTCTTATAGACTACAGGCTCCTGCTGGATGGCATCAGATGGTTGTTCCTCAGCGAGTGGAGATGAGCGGTTTGAAAGACTGAGGTCAGGTGGGGGGTGAGATGAACAACATAGGCTCTCCAACAACCACGTAGCACAACCTCTGACCAAGATGAAAATGGGTCAGGAGAGGAGCTGGAAGTTGGTAGTCGTGGTGCAGCAGGATCCCAGACAATGGTGTCTTGGAGCAGAGAGTTCTGCACGGTTGTTTCCTTTTCAAACTGATAGGTATCTCAGTCAGTGAAGGGAGACCAGTTCCAAAACCATCCAGCAGCATTTCCTCCTTTTGTAGATCAGCAGCGTATATCCCCTTTAAGGTTCTGAATCCTTTTATTTGCTTTAGAAAGCATAAAGCCGTCATTGTGGGGCAGAAGGAGAGGGAGGACAGACGTTCAAAAAAGCTTCAAGGTTGCAGAGCTTACACTTTAGCTGAGCTGCCTCTGTCGGATCCGGAAGATTTTTAGCCAAATAAAGTTCCAACAAGTCAAAGAATCCCAAAAAAATTATGAAAACAAAAGTCCACAGAATCCAGAGATCGGTGACAGAGAAATTAGAGCACAAAAGTAGGGAGCTGAAGTAGACATGTCTGCCACGTCTGCAGGCCTCTGGACCAGTAACAAAAACCTTCTGTAACACTTCGGCCCGTTTCACTCTTACGCATGTCAAATCAGTTTTGGTCCATTTGAAAATGACAAGGTGCTTTCTAGTAATTGTTTATTTAAATATCCACTAAAATAGTTGTTCAATTTATCAATCTTTATCTGTATAGTGCCTTCCACTGCCTTTGCGGGAGCCCAAGGCGCTGAACGTAACGTATACTAAAAACACAGTAAAACGCACATAAAAAGGAGATGAAAGCAACGTACTTTAACGGAATGAAATGAATGTTTTCCACCAAAAGTCATTTCCCCCTCTCCTCTGACACAGAACTAGTCTGCATGAGATACGGCCTCAAGGTCTCATGCATTTGTTATAAACTGCTTCCTTTCCAGCTCAAGAGAAGAATGAAGAAAGGACTTTCTCCTTTTAATAAATCACAGAACTCTGTTTTTAATAAGCTAATCAAACAAAGTGTTAGTCAATAGTTAGATGTGTCCAATCTGTGAAATCAAAATATTAATTACTTTATTATAATCCTATAGAATATAATAAGTAATATAACTTTAAATGTTTCCACTAGGACTGATCTCACGTAGCGTTAAGACATGACACATTGCTTTCACTGATCCAATCAGAATCTGCCAGATCTGACGGAGGCGTGGTTTTGGTGGTGTTTGGTAAATCTGTCATCTTTTCATTCGACCATAAACCTTCTACACCTCCTGATCTAGACGGGGACTTCCGCTCAGGGTACGTAGACCGACAGAATGGCGTCTCAATGTGTTTATGGAGATCCTAACCAAAGCTTAGCGGAAGACATCACCTTCACTCCCATCAGAACTAATCGTTTCTCCGGATTTGCTGGTTCTGAACAACATTCCACACTACACCATTCTCCGTCTCATCCACCTTAGTTACACCACACATTTAGTGTTAAAGTTAGTCTAGTTTTAATTAGTTTAGTAATAAATCTTTAAACTTTTAAAACTTGACTCTCTTTCTGTTGTCTCTGAGTGAATATGAGGTTGTTATCTAATCCCTGCAATAAAAAGTTTCAATCTTCTGGTTAAAAGTACCCACAGATCTATAAGTTTGATCCCATATTTCCTATGGAATTTTATGTCTCATAGTTCATTAAATAACATGTAAATTAACCCTTTACAGTACAAAATGTAAGTCACATAAAAGCCAAAAAATAAAAATGAGTCTTTAAATGACTCTTGAAGACCTGCAGTGATGGTGACCGTTTAATATCAAATGGAAGCTCATTCCAAAGAGAAGGAGCCAAGTCCTAGAAACCCCGATCACCTCTAGACCTATACCGGGTCTGCGGTTCAATCAGGAGCTCCAGGTCAGCCGAGCGTCCAGTTCGGGATGGGGTATGTGTTTTTATTAGTGCTGCCAAGTATGGTGAAGCACCACCATAAGGATACCAGAAGACAGCACAGCACTTTAAACTTAGCCCCAAAACCTACAGGGAGCCAATGTAATGAGGCCAGCACAGGAGTGATGTGTGCTGATTTCCCAGGTTGTTACAGGGCTTTTCAACCTTTTCCTACTTTTCTTCAGGTGGATTGTTGTTTCTGACTCTTTACTATTTCAGGGGATGAAGATGATGAGGATGATGAAGATGATGACATGGTGTGTTCTATATGCCTGGAGGAAACCTCAGAAGAACCCAACGAGATTGTCATCTGTGACAAATGTGGACAAGGTACCTTTCTGCGTCTGAGTCCCTGAACCTGAACGATAGCACAGCAGCTAGTTCTAGTCTGTAAACTCTAGGTGCTCACTGCTGGTTATGTGTTTCTCCACCAGGCTACCATCAGATGTGCCACAACCCCATCATCGACGCTGCCGTCATCGACTCTGATGACAAGTGGCTGTGCTCAGAATGTGAACTCTCCTCTCTACCAAAGGTCTGTGTTGGATTCTGAAGTACGGCGTTTGCTTCTGAAGAAACATCAATAAAAATGACTTAATTGATTTAACATGGGCAGTACGCCAGCGTGACCCACATACACACACACTACCCTAACACAGCCCAGGTGGCACTAACGCTGTTATAGACCAGCTATGTGGTTCTCTGTGGAGCAGGTGTGAAATCATGTTAAAGTCCAGAGTCTTGTTAGTCAGGGTAGAGGTGCGACTCTTCACTAGTCTCCCGACTCGATTACGATTATCGGGTCAACGATTCGATATCTCGGTGCATCACGATGATCTCATATGGATTAGTTTTCATTGATGAGTAGAAGATGGCAGATATGTGCTTTCCTAATCAGAAACACGTCTGACACACCACGCCGTCCCCCAAAAGCTCTTCAGTCACAACAGTTCTTAGGACAACGTTAACGGGCAAAACTTTTAAGAAGATTTAATGAAGTCGTTCAACATCTCGGGCTGTGGGAGAAACACGCTCTGCAGACGCTAGCAAAGCCTTCTCACACGCTGAAAACCCAGAGGACACGTCCAGTACTTCTTCAGTTTAGCTTCTGAAGGCCATCATGGGTCCACGTGTTGGTTTAGAATGTCTGTGAGCAGCTTTAGTCGCACTCATGCAGCAGTCCAAGGCTGTTAGAAATAAATAACACCAATCAGACGTTTGGCTTAGTTTGACCTCTAGGGTCTGGTTTCAGAAACGTTGGAGCGTGGATCCAATTCTGTTCAATGCAGAAAATAATAAAACCTTAAAAAAGTAAAATGATGTTTGAGATGTGCGTCTTGTTCTTGTTGATGATCACACCAGCAGGAGGCCGTGGGCTGGATTAGGATTAAGTGACCCAGCTGATGGATCTCCTTCTCTAACCAGCAACCACAAGCCTGTCCTGTGGGACTTCTATCATCTCCTCATGTCTGTGGTGTCTCTGGAGGAGCAGATGGAAACCGCATCTCCTGTAACTTATGAACCGAAGCTTCCTCCTAGTTCCTCTTGAAGTTGAGTTTAACATAAACGTGTCATCATGTAAGAAAAGAATAAAAAGCAACAAGAACGTCTATTTCCTGTTTCTCCTCGACTCGCTCCGTCTCACCAACCTCTCCGTGTCCCTAAATAGAGACAGATGATTAGGTGCCGCCGCCGCCGCTCACCCCGACACCAGATCTCCTGACACCACAGCACTCGGTCTGTCTGACCCGACTGAACCGGAGTTTTTAAGCAATTCCAGGAGGAATAATAACGCTCCTTTAGAGGCTCGTCCTCCGCTACGGTCCTGTGTGAGTAGAGACTCGGAGCATCTTTCACTTCTCGAGTGCGCTGCGACCCAACCCTAATCCACCGGCTTAAATCCGACTGAACTGGCCGGGTTTACTCGGGTCGGGTTCGGTCTCAGGTTAGAACTCCAGCGCTCAGCCGTGCCACACCACACAAAGGTGCACCAGTACTTTGTACTGGGTAAATGTGGAGGACACGTCCCAGTCTGGCACGCTGGTGCTGCGGTTAGACAAACAAGTGCATTCCACTATAATCCATGATGGCGTGCTTCTTCTGCACGTCAGAGTCGTCTGTCTGCATCTCGATGCGTTGGAATATTTCCCTCCGCTCTAGTCAGGAGTTGTTATTAATGCAAACCTAAAGCAACACATGCATGTCCTCTTGTTCCTAGAAGTCCTTCTGCAGAAGAAACTTCACTTTCAGTCTCGGTTCTTTGCAGAGGGGCGGTTCACATCAGAAGGTTCCATCTGCTAAAGGCTTTTTGCATCAGGAGCAAGAGGAGCAGCAGGAGCATATGGAGCTAAGTCTGTCCTTTCCATATGTCCTGGAGGAGCTGGTGTGGGACCAGGGCCATAAGACCAACATGCAGCAGCGTTACTGTTACTGTGGAGGTCCTGGAGAGTGAGTTACACAGTAAACAGCACCAAAGTCCTGGGCCGCTGCCTGGTGCTGCTAACGGGCCTCTGTTTGTTTGCAGCTGGTACCTGAAGATGCTGCAGTGTGACACGTGTCAGCAGTGGTTCCATGAAGCCTGTCTCCACTGCTTACAGATGCCCTTGCTATATGGAGACCGGTACTATGATCAGCTGTAGTCATGACTTTTAAAGGGCGGGGAGAATGTGTAAAATGGACTGAAAACCATAACATTATTTTGTTTGGAATAGAAATATGTTTAGATAAAAATGAGAGCATAAGAAAGGATTTAACTCATGGAGCAGGTATGATGTCTCATTATTCCAGCCAGCAGCTGTTTGTACAAAGGTATTTTCCTCCCGGTCCTACGCCTGCGCTGTAGGTCAGCTGTTAGTCTCCTGGACATCATGGAGCTGGCTGCACTCTAGAACAGAGTTCCTGAAGCCTGTTAGTCACCTGCTGATTAAAATCAGGTGTGCAGAAGCAGGGAACAGTCAAACATGCTGGATAGTGGCCCTCAGGAAGAGAGGTGGGAACACTGCCCTACAACCTGCTAAGGGAAGGTTACAGTTTATTATAGTGGAGAAAGAGATGGATCACTGGAGGCCAATATTTAATATGTAAAGCAATAATTTGTAGAGAAACCACAATAAGTGTTTTACAGAGATTTCATAAAATGTTTAAGAAGCTAAAAATAGGCACACCATGTAAGAGAATTAGAGTCTATAATGAGAATTAGCAGGAAAAATCATTACATGTTCAAAGTAGCGTGCTGATGATTGTGATTTACAGCAGCAATAGAAAAAATGAGGCTGCCAAGCCATCCTATATATGTGAATGTGTAGAACCAAATCATGTTGCTTCGGCAAATGATGTTGGACAGCACGGTTCAGCTGAAATAATCATTTGGACATTAGATTGTTCTGGGTAATGGTCTGCCTGGAGGTGGTGGTGATAGTGTTAATGATAATGGTGGTGGTGGGGGTGGTAACGGTGGTGGTGATGATAATGGTGATGTAGGTAGTGGTGGTTGTGGTGATGATAATGATGGCGGCGGTGGTGGTGGTGATGGTTGTGGTGACGTAGGTGGTGGTGGTAATGATGGTGGTGGTGGTGGTGATGGTGATGATGATGGTGACGTAGGTGGTGGTGGTAATGTTGATGATTATGATGGTGGTGGTGATGGTTGTGGTGATGATGATGGTGACGTAGGTGGTGGTGGTAATGTTGATGATTATGATGGTGGTGGTGATGATGTAGGTGATGATTATGGTGACGTGGGTGGCGGTGGTTGTGGTTGTGGTGATGATAATGATGGTGGTGGTGATAGTGTTGATGATGGCGGTGGTGGTGGTGATGGTTGTGGTTATGGTGATGATGATGGTGACGTAGGTGGTGGTGATAGTGTTGATGATGGCGGTGGTTGTGGTGATGAAAATGGTTACGTAGGTGGCGGTGGTTGTGGTTGTGGTGATGATGATAATGATGGTGGTGGTGGTGGTGATAGTGTTGATGATGGTGACGTAGGTGGTGGTGGTAATGTTGATGATGATTATGATGATGGTGGTGGTGATGGTTGTGGTGATGATAATGATGGTGGTGGTGATAGTGTTGATGGCGGTGGTGGTGGTGATGGTTGTGGTTATGGTGATGATGATGGTGACGTAGGTGGTGGTGATAGTGTTGATGATGGCGGTGGTTGTGGTGATGAAAATGGTTACGTAGGTGGCGGTGGTTGTGGTTGTGGTGATGATAATGATGGTGGTGGTGGTGGTGATAGTGTTGATGATGGTGACGTAGGTGGTGGTGGTAATGTTGATGATGATTATGATGATGGTGGTGGTGATGGTTGTGGTGATGATAATGATGGTGGTGGTGATAGTGTTGATGATGGTGACGTAGGTGGTGGTGGTAATGTTGATGATGATTATGATGATGGTGGTGGTGATGGTTGTGGTGATGATAATGATGGTGGTGGTGATAGTGTTGATGGCGGTGGTGGTGGTGATGGTTGTGGTTATGGTGATGATGATGGTGACGTAGGTGGTGGTGGTAATGTTGATGATGATTATGATGATGGTGGTGGTGATGGTTGTGGTGATGATAATGATGGTGGTGGTGATAGTGTTGATGATGATTATGATGATGGTGGTGGTGATAGTGTTGATGATGGCGGTGGTGGTGGTGATGGTTGTGGTTATGGTGATGATGATGGTGACGTAGGTGGTGGTGGTAATGTTGATGATGATTATGGTGGTGGTGATGATGATGATGGTAATGTTGATGATGATTATGATGGTGGTGGTGGTGGTGGTGATGGTTGTGGTGATGATAATGATGGTGGTGGTGGTGGTGATGGTGATGATGATGGAGACGTAGGTGGTGGTGGTAATGTTGATGATTATGATGGTGGTGGTGATGTAGGTGATGATTATGGTGGTGGTGGTGATGATGATGGTAATGTTGATGATGATTATGATGGTGGTGGTGGTGGTGGTGGTGATGGTTGTGGTGATGATAATGATGGTGGTGGTGGTGGTGATGGTGATGATGATGGAGACGTAGGTGGTGGTGGTAATGTTGATGATGATTATGATGGTGGTGGTGATGATGTAGGTGATGATTATGGTGGTGGTGATGATGATGGTAATGTTGATGATGATTATGATGGTGGTGGTGGTGGTGGTGATGGTTGTGGTGATGATAATGGTGACGTAGGTGGCGGTGGTTGTGGTTGTGGTGATGTTGGTGGTGATGATTATGATGGTGGTGATTATGGTGATGATGGTGATGTAGGTGGTGGTGATGTTGGTGATGATTATGATTATCGTGATGATTATGATTATGGTGATGATGTAGGTGATGGTTATGCTTATGGTGATGATGTAGGTGATGATTATTATGGTGGTGATGATGGTGATGTAGGTGGTAGTGATGTTGGTGGTGGTGGTAATGTTGATGACGATTATGGTGATGGTGATGATAGTGCTGGTGGTGGTGATTATGGTGATGATGTAGGTGGTGATGATGATGGTGCTGATGATGCTGGTGATTATGGTGGTGATGATGATGATGATGGTGGTAGTGATGGTGGTGATGGTGATAATGGTGATGATGATGGTGGTTGTGGTGATGATGGTGCTGATGTTTATGATGGTGGTGGTGATAATGGTGATGATGATGGTGGTTGTGGTGATGATGGTGCTGATGATGCTGGTGATTATGGTGATGATGATGATGATGATGGTGGTGGTGATGGTGATAATGGTGATGATGATGGTGGTTGTGGTGATGATGGTGCTGATGGTGATGGTGGTGATGGTGCTGGTGATTATGGTGATGGTGGTGATGGTGATAATGGTGATGATGATGGTAATGTTGATGATGATTATGATGGTGGTGGTGGTGGTGATGGTTGTGGTGATGATAATGATGGTGGTGGTGGTGGTGATGGTGATGATGATGGTGACGTAGGTGGTGGTGGTAATGTTGATGATGATTATGATGGTGGTGGTGATGATGTAGGTGATGATTATGGTGGTGGTGATGATGATGGTAATGTTGATGATGATTATGATGGTGGTGGTGGTGGTGGTGATGGTTGTGGTGATGATAATGGTGACATAGGTGGCGGTGGTTGTGGTTGTGGTGATGTTGGTGGTGATGATTATGATGGTGGTGATTATGGTGATGATGGTGATGTAGGTGGTGGTGATGATTATGATTATGGTGATGATGTAGGTGATGGTTATGCTTATGGTGATGATGTAGGTGATGATTATTATGGTGGTGATGATGGTGATGTAGGTGGTGGTGATGTTGGTGGTGGTGGTAATGTTGATGACGATTATGGTGATGGTGATGATAGTGCTGGTGGTGGTGATTATGGTGATGATGTAGGTGGTGGTGATGATGGTGCTGATGATGCTGGTGATTATGGTGGTGGTGATGATGATGATGGTGGTAGTGATGGTGGTGATGGTGATAATGGTGATGATGATGGTGGTTGTGGTGATGATGGTGCTGATGGTGATGATGGTGGTGGTGATAATGGTGATGATGATGGTGGTTGTGGTGATGATGGTGCTGATGATGCTGGTGATTATGGTGATGATGATGATGATGATGGTGGTGGTGATGGTGATAATGGTGATGATGATGGTGGTTGTGGTGATGATGGTGCTGATGGTGATGGTGGTGATGGTGCTGGTGATTATGGTGATTATGGTGATGGTGGTGATGGTGATAATGGTGATGATGATGGTGGTTGTGGTGATGATGGTGATGGTGGTGATGGTGCTGGTGATTATGATGGTGCTGGTGATTATGGT